GTACTAATACTGTCCTTCCTGCAGTGGAATGAATCTTGAACATATAAAAGCAAATGTGATGTAATTCTAGAAAAGCCTCTTGGAAATTATAAGAATGAATCCCTTGAAATAGTTTCTAGATAGCAGTCTTGATGCAGTTATCTCTAGATCAGTGTTGTTTAGAGAACCTACATCTGCTGTTTCAGATGGACGTCCACCTAGGAGGGTACTCATAAGAATTTAATCTCAAGGATAGAGGGCTAATTTCAAGGATAGGTAGGTGAGCACAAGGGAAAGATTAAGTGAGCTTTGGTAAGTTTCAGCTCTTGCAAAATGAATTTCATACTGAAAAAAAATATCAAAATAAAAACCAGTATAGTGTGAAGCTGTTTATGAATTTGATTCAGCAATCTCTAATCATAAATGGTAAGTGACATCAAGAGATTAAGATCTAGTTTGGATTAGAAGGAACCTACACAATAGCAACTGTCCTGGGGGCAACTCTTGCTCTCTATAAAATCACTTGAAAAAGAGAAAAAGAGATCCTTAAACTGAGCTCAAATTCTAGTCCCCTGGGGGAGGGAGGGGGGGTTGGCAGCATTACATAATTTGCCATTGCCTTCTCCCCGAATTTTAAGTACTTAAAACTATTTTGTAAATTATAACTATTTTTATTTCTTGGGACCTTGGTACATTATTGATAAACCTCGCCTACTTTATATATTGAGTCCCAAGGCCTACAGACACAGGTTTATAAACACACCGATGTTGAAAAAGGACTACACTCTCATACCATCTCTGCCATCATTCATACAGTTTTACTTTATATAGTTAGTATCAGTATGCTTCTATTTGCTTTTTTTCTAGGAATCATTCAGGATTTTTCTTTCAGGATGAACTTAATTAACTTCTTCTTGGGATCCTATTCTACCACCCGTTATGAGAAATCAGCAAAGGCATAGAAATAATATGTCTCTAACTAATATTCATCTTGGTACTACAATGTATTTGTACTACAGATCCATTTTTTTTCTTAAATGTAATAAGTAGGTGGTTGGACAGCAAAGGAGAAGAGATCATTGCATCACAGAATGATACATAAATGAAATTATAAAATGGACCTTGATTTCTTTTCTGTATGTAAGAATGGGGTGTATCTCTAGCATCCTGAAAGCTTACGCGGTGTACCAATCAGTGCAGCATTTCCCTTGCATTGCTTTAGAACACAGAAAAATAACTCCTTTCTCCCTCCCCCCCAAAAAACAAGTTAGCTCCTGGGCTAGAAGCTTCCTTTACAGCAGGGGTGTCAAACTCGCCCCGTCACGTGATGTGTTGCAACGTATCGCGACTTTTTACCCATTGCCGGAGCTGCGGTGGGCACAGTTTAGGCACGACGCATCCGGCCTGTGGGCTGGCAGTTTGATACCCTTGCTTTACAGGTTTTCCTTTTAGTTTTTTCTTATAGTTACTTCAGGGTGTTTAAGCAATCACTTAATTTAATTTTTACCCCTCACCAGACATTCACTCTATTCCTTTCAAAAGTAATACTAGGTTACCTACTGAGTATTGCTTTTGAAATGCTGGGGGGAACGCTCTTCTTTGGTTTTCTCATCTTCTTGCTGACTTCCATTCCTGGCAACGGCCCTTCTCTAAGCAGGTCTGCCACTTCTAAATATTGTGCAGATACTTCTGGTTCTGCTTGACAGCATTCCTTAAGCCATAGGACTCAGCCTTCTCGCTAGTTTATTTCAACATATGGTAATAATAATTAAACTGTTGATTAAATCAGATAATCTATTTTATGTGCCTATGATTTCAGGGAGCGCTATATTTTAAGTGCAAGCAACTCCACTTTATATGGCAAACACTAGCTGAGGGTACATCCATAACAAACTCATTTGTAGTGTGGATACCTTTAACAAACATCTGAAAAATTGCTCATTCATGTTAGCAATAGCCCTTAGACTTATATATTATCCCATAGTGCTTTACAGCATTCTCTGAGCAGTTTACAGAGTCAGCCTATTGCCCCCAACAATGTGTGTCCTCATTTTACCGAACTTGGAAGGATGGAAGGCTGGAAGGCTGAGGCACCCTTGAGCCGGTGAGAATTGAACTGATGAACTGCTAGCAGTTGGGAGTCAGCAGAAGTAGCCTGCAGTACTGCATTCTAACCATTGCGCCCACCAAGGCTCTTTAAAACTATAGTTGAATTAATCAGACTTTAGAGATTTGCTGTACAAATCCTGGTGTATTTGGAGCAGTTGCTTTTGTCCCACAGAGAGCGGAGTTGCGCTGTAACTGTGAAAATTGGAAAAATGATTGAGATTTCTGCTAAGTTCAGGTAAACCTGGGGATATGATTACATGTATAAAGCCTGGATGAATGATTAACAAATAATCAATGAGGACAAGATCCTTTAATCAAAACAAAACTCATGGAAGATTGGTTCAGAGCAAACCTTACTTCCCTCCAAAATGTGTTCTGTGTCTCTTAATGGTTCTCATGCAGGTAAGGTTCTTGTGACCTCAACTGTAATATTTCATATATTTTTCCTTGGATTGTCATGGAGTCTTCCCTTCCTTCAGCTGGTTCTTTTGGTGTTGGACTTTGATTCACATAACCTCTCTACCAGACTAAGGTTCATGGCAGTTGTCTTGAATCTGGTTGGGGAAGGTACCAAGTGACAGGGTATTTCTTTGGGACTGGTCTTCTTAATGGCATCAGTCATCTTCTTGGAAATACCATATTTGTCAGATGAGAAAAGGGGGGGGGGGTAGTGAATTGATTAGGGGACAGAGGTCATCTTAAATTTGTGGTCATTAGAAAAGAAGCCAAGAGCCAGTTTGCTGGAGTAGTTAAGGCATCAAACTAGAAACCAGATGCCTTAAGTACATAGTCAGCTGGATGACCTTGGGCTAGTCATTATTTTTCAGTCCTAGGAAGGAGGCAATGGCAAACTATTTCTGAAAAAACCTTGCAAGGAAAACTGCAGGGACTTATCCAGGCAGTCTCTGAGAATTGGGAAGGGGGAAGAATGGATGGAACAGAACTGCAGGGGAGGAGAGGCAAGTATTGGACAGAAGAAAAGGGAGACTTTCTTAAGCAGCAGTTTATTTCGAAGGAACCTAGCTTTTTTTCTGCACTTCAATGCATCTCAGTCCCTTTCTGCATCTCATTGCCTTTCTCTTCAGCAGCATTTTATTTTATTTGTCTATATGGTCCCTAATTGTTGACACCAGCTTGATGGTATAGCATAAATCAGTGAAGTATAATTTTCTGTTGACTGTGCTAGTTTCTTTTTATTTAGGAAGTGTGTTTCAATGTGTTTTTTCTAGCAAGGCTTACTCCTAAATTAATGTATGCCTAAGATTTCAACCTAAATTGCTTTCACATTCTCGGAGAAACTGGTAACTATTTCACACAGCGAAACAGTGAGAAAATTCAACATCTTTATTTTTTTGATACAGGCTAGTCCTGGAATGGAATGTGAGAATGAGGAGGGGCTTTTGGTGCTCTCTGAGCTTGATTGTTTTCTTGCCTATGTTTCATTAGCCAAACTAGGCAGCACTATCAGAGAGTGGGGTATGCTCTCAATTTATATTCTAGTGGCTTGCCCTGTCAGTGTTGGTGGGAGCGGTCTAGGTGTTTTTAGTTGTTTGTTGTTGTTGACCTCTTTACTGTTTGGCAGTTCTTTGATTGAGGTATTGTTCACTTCTTGACTGTTGATCTGATAGTAATCTTGGTGTTAATTGCTGGTGGGGAGATGTTTTGATTTTTTGTTCTCTTTTTGGCTTGTTGATTGTCTCTTTTACACAGTATGTAGATGATGTTTATATCTATGGATCTATTCTCTGTGATAATGACCTTGGGTGTGTGGGTATGTGCTGCCCAGGAAATGATCAGATAAAAGGGGAAGGAGCCTGCAACTGAGTAATGGGCAGAGAAAGAAACTTAGAAAGGATCTGCTCTAACTAATCAGGCAGTATAAATGTGTACTTTCAGACTTGCAAGATTCTGTTAATGTAGCCTTATAATAAAGTAGAAATAGTTCATCTTGTTACGTTTCTTGTCTGCTCTACCTGGGACGCTGATGCTGACAGTAAAAATCTTCATAATTAATGTAACAAACTATTTTCAGACCTTTTAGCAATCAGAGGGCTCAGTCACTGTGCCTCCAAAGAGAGGCCAGACACTGTAGAATTCTGCAGGACCAGTAGGATAGAGTTGGAGAACCCATCCACCCCCCTTCTCCAATTAGGAGAGCAAGGATGAGAATCAAAGCTCTTTATGGAATATTTACTTTGCGGCAGGATGCCCTGTTTGATTTGCTTCTCCCACTGAAAAGAATCAGTTCACAAATATTGTGGGAAAGGCCCTTCTATGTCAGACAGCCTGGAGAAGAGTCGTAGTTTGTGGACACTGCAAATGTCAATTGGGTTCCCGTATCAGGCTGCTGTCAATAGAAATATGTGGAAATAATCTTTTTATAGAAAGGTTTCCTTTAAAATCAAGAATACATCTATATCGTGGCAGGGAATTACTGGGTGGTTTTTAAATTTCACAAGTTTCTTTGGAGTGAAGAGAAAGCCTTTCTGCTCTGGCTAAATGCCAACAAACAATTCTCCATCCTTCAATGGACGAAGGAGTGGTTAAGGGAAAACTATGATTATTGCCTATATTATTATTCAAGTATTAGTGTTTGGCAGAGAAAGTGGGGATAGTCAATAGAGAACATGACACCTTACTCTAGCCAGGCTGTTATGAATTTGTTTGCTAGGAAATAAGCTGCACAGACTGCAACTGGGCAAATACGCATAAGGATTTTCGCCTCGAAATGAACTTTGTCTCTCAGTTTTCTGAGATCCATTGTGCCTGCAGATGCTTTGGATTCCTGCAGCGGTTGTGTTGAGTTTTTTAAATTATAATAAAAGACATAGGTGGTCACTGGAGCCTTTTAAAACACATTTATTAACAGATGCAGAAAAAATAAAAATAAAACCATATTCCTCATCACCCCCAAATCCAACCACCTTTCACACAGAGAGTACGGTAAATCCATCTCTTGCCAGCTTGTCCCACCTCCCAGTGCCTCCATAGAAGTTACAGGGAAGGCCACCTGCTCAAGGCTTATGGGATAGTACAGTCAGTGGGGTCCAAAGAGACGGTGACATCCGCCTTGCACTGAATGGTGCTGGGCATACCAGGCAGTAGCTGGCAGCTTTGCAGTTCTGGAGCCACTTCCTTCACACATACTGCCTGCAGAAAAGACAAAAGATAGAAAAGAAAGACAAGTGCAACAGAGCAGGCACAGACCTGAGCCTCATGTACTTACTTGGAAGTATGCCCTATGGACCTCTTGTGTAATAGGGTTCTTGGAGAGAAGCAGTTTGTGAAGATGGGTTTGCTGGTCTCCCTAAGCTTTTAGCAATTCTACTGATACTCCGAGAGCCACTTTAACTAAATGTAACCCACACTGAACTGCACTGAATTTATTTCTGAAGAAATACAACTTGCATGGTGTTGCAATATGAATAATAGTACGTATGCTTGATACAGCTACGTTTTTTTCTTGCGTAATTTCCATTGCTACAGATTTTCTATCCATAAGTGTGATTTTTCCAAAAGGCAACTAGACTTTGTTTTTCCTTGAAGACATTTCTCATCCAAGATGTTTTTTCAGTTCCGACAGAAGAAGCTTCTTGGACAAGAAGCAAAATGTCTTCAAGGATAAGACGAAGTCCAGTTGCCTTTTGGAAAGGTACCGTTGGACCAACCATGACCTGAATGACTGAGAATCTCCACAGATGGATTTCCTATGTTGTTTTCACTTTTGGTTGGTTCTTCAAGGAATTAGGAATGGAGCAGCTATAGTACATATTACAATAAAATAATATGCAATACAGTACAGGGCTAACGTAAACCAATGAACATAAAGTAGACGCATCAAGTTTGTTACAACAAATGCCATATTCAATGCACTAGGTGCATCAGAATATTCACTGCGCTTATAGATGGGTGGAATTCCCACAAAAAAATACCTTACATAAATTGTCTTCCTCATTCCAAGCAACTTTCACAAAAAGAGAGGAAAAATTCTTTGGCGATTTAATTGCCTTGGCCTGGAAAGCTACTTGGCAAAGGAAGAAAGAGTCAGACTTAAAAAACAGAAGATTTGATTTACCAGAGGGGACATTATATGAATAAATATTTATTTGAATATGATTTAAAAAATGGATAATCCTTAGATATAATTAGACTTTTATCATAAGAAAGACATGATTTATAATTAGAATAGCACCTTTTTTTGTTATGGGAAATATGAAAATACGAGGATGGCTTGTATAAATGAAATTCTTAGCTACATATTACATTGATTAGAACTCTTTTGGTATTGACTGTTTCTATAAGACTTATAACTACCCTTTAATTTGAATTTATTCTTGTACTTTTTGTCCTATAACTAAATTATTCCTCTGAAATTAACGTTTATGTAAACTTTATGTTTAACCAATCTTTTCTCAAATATTTGACTATAACAATAAACATATTGTGATCTTTTATACTTGAGGATGTTTATATTCAATTTTGTATGCATTAATAGTAGCAAGAATTGCATTTGCATAGTGCTGGGAAAATGAAAACAATTTGGAAAGAAAGGAGGATCAGGGGGAAAAAAACCACTGGATTGTGCAGTATCGAACAGATTTATATCGAAGAAGTTAATGTTAAATATGTGAACCCAGACAACACGTTGTTTACTAAGCACTAAAGATTGTAATTGTTAAAAATCAATAAAAAATTTTTTTTTTTAAAAAAGATGATTCACTGCGGGAGACAAGATCCAATTCGACGGTGCACTCTTCACCGACGGGCGCTCCTAAGCATCCTCCCTCCTCTCTCCCCTCCTCCGAGTTTACTCTTCGTCCCGTTCCCGGAGCCCTGCTACTTCTTACCATGTTGCGCAGCCCGCCGAGGTTCTGCCGCGCCTCGGACATCGCGAGAGAGGATGCGGCGGGGCCGTCCTCGGCGCTACTGTCCGCGACGCTGTTGTCGTCGGAGCGGCGCACGTAAGGCGAGCGGCGGATGCCAGAGAGAAGCCCCGACGCTCTGCCCACGGAGTAGTAGCTGGGGCCGGCCGCCTGCTTGTACCACGCCTCGGCGGGCGGGCTGAGCAGCAGGGCCAGGGTGAGGCTGAGCAGCGCCAAGGTGGGTGGTCCGCCCATGCTGCGAGAGGCTGGCGACGGCTGGGTTGGTGGTCGCCATCGGCGCCTCCTTTTATAGCACCGGGGAGGCAGGACAGGGACGGGGAGCAGCCAGGCGGCTCCGGGGCGCCGGAGCGGGCGGTGGAGGCGAGCGCCGCGCCGAGCACGTGACCCGGCGGGACTCTTCGGGAGGAGGAAGCGCCCTGCTCCGCCCGGCGGGAGGCTCTCAATCGCGGCTTGCTTTAACCCTCTGCCCGCGTCCGCTCCGCCGGCTTCTCTCACGAGTTGAAGTTCCACAAGTCCGTCTCCCGTTTCTCCTTTGGCCGGAAGAAACAGACTCGAACAACGACGCGCTGGGGTCGCTCCGCCGTCGAGAGAGGACGAGACTCAGAGTTAAGGTTCCCTGGTGGCGGGAGAGGGGGAGGGGAAGCGCGGGCAAGCTCCCTCGACGACTAAAGCTGCAGCAAACACCCGTGGCTAACCGAGCCCCGTGAGTCACGGAAGCCCGTTTCCTTTTCTGCCCTTGTATAGGTACGCCGAAACATCACGTAACAAGAAGACTTGTAGCTGGATCGTTTCTGGCTCAATGGGTCGTGAGAACGGGGTCAATATTCCTGCCACATCCTTCCCTAATACTGCACTGCAACGAAATCTGACTTTGGCACATTAATCTAAAGCAGTGTTTCTCAACCTCAACAACTTCACAATCTGTGAACTTCAAGTCCCAGAATTCCTCAGCCAGCATGCTAGCTGGAGAATTCTGGGAGGTGAAGTCCACACATCTTCAAATTGCTGAGGTTTGAGAAACACTGATCTAAAGATAAGCTCAGTGGTCTGGGTTTTTCTGGCTTTGATTTATTTCTCAAATCTCCATGTGTAAACAATTTAAAATCTGCTGTTTTTACAAGAGGTTCTGATAGTTAACAAGGGGTTAACTGGGCTGCTGTCAAGCCCTTTCCAGCATTGTATTCATTTGCAATGCAAATATCTATATTTTTTGCTGTCTGTTGTAAAGGTAGTACTCAACCACCACAATTGAGCCCAAAATGTATATCGCTAAATGAGACATTTGTTGAGTGAGTTTTGCCCCATTTTACGACTTTCTTGCCACAGTTGTTCAGTGAGTCATTGCAGTTAAGTTAGTAACATGGTTGTTAAATGAATCTGGATTCCCCATGGACTTTGCTTGTCAGGTCACAAAAGCTGTTTACTTGACCCCCGGAGCACTGCAACCATGATAAATATGAACCAGTTGCAAAGCGGCTAAATTTTGATCACATGACCATGGAGATGCTGCAAGGATTGTAAAAGGGAGAAAAACAGTCATAAGTCACTTTTTTCAGTGCCATTGTAACTTTGAATGGTCACTAACGAGCTATTGTAAGTCAAGGAATACCTGTAACTGTATGTAATCCTTGATTCTGGGATGGGAAATTGTCTCTTGCTAAAACAGGATGGTGAGAATGATGTTTTTAATTTTAACAGAACAAAGCTTTGTTCTTTCAAGTAGACCTTTCACAGCTATAGTAAAATGCTGTGACCAAGGAGAATATATATCAGGAGCCCTGGTAGCACCTTCTCCAGCTAATAAATTTTATTAAAAGTCATAATCTTTCATGAATTGCAGCTCACTTCATCATTTCAGTCCATGAAAATAATTTTTGCCTTAAAAGGATATCTTAAAAAGAATTGCTAGTTGGAAAACCAGATTCCTGAGTTTTTACTATCATACATGGCTCTTCTACAAATAAGATACAGTGTTTGTTGCTGCCCTCTTATGGTATCTGGCTCATCTAAAAAAAATACTAATCCAGTTTACTTTTATTGCTATAACCCATGTATCAGTTATATGGTGTACAGTATACCTATTGTCCTATTGTTGTATAACAAAATGTATACAATTTATAAAGTAAAGCCCTAACAGCAGTCCAAAACAATAAACTGTAAAAAGAGTATTTTAAGAAATTACATTGTGTTTCATTCTCCAAAGAAGATAAAAATCACTCTGCCAGTTTTCAGCTATTTCAAATTCCAGAAATTTCAAAAGCCACACATACACAAACAGCCACTACAATTTGTGACTTAGCTGCTAAGATCCTGCAAAACTCCAGATTCTGTCATCATAATTTGATAACAAAACCCTCAATTTAGAAACATGACTTTTTTTGTCAATACTTAGCCATCAAAAGATGTAGCGTAATGGTATTAAGCCTCAGTGAAACTTCACATCTACTGTTTCTTTATCTCAACACTCAATTTTTTTCCTACAAAAGGAAACATGCCCTCAGTTGCCCTTCCTCCAAATTGTAGTCCCTGATAAGAAAAAAATATTTTCCTTATACTTAGTGTTGTGTGAATACTAGTCAATTAAAGTTTATTTAACATTAATCAAAACATGGCTTGATAGAAATATATGAAGCCAGGCAGTAACTAGACTATTGAAAGCAGAAAAGCAGCTAACCTAAAATTAGGTATTATAGCTAAAAATAAAATAGAGCAGGTACAAGAATACAATTTTCATTTTAATTAAAATTTGCTCAGGGGAACAAACTTTGGGGAACATTTGAGGAAGAGCATATTTTTAACTATAGTTAATTTTAGTGATCAGTTGTGTCTAACAAGACCCTGGTGTCATGTTTTGTGGCAAAAAAGCACAATTCTCCATGCTTGGGAAGATTCCAGAGATCATCAAAAGTGGTAGGTAATTCTTTTAAATAGAGAATTTTTCCTTGATGGCTATTTAGTTAGCATCACTTTTCATTTGAATAGCATAAAGAGCTTCAGTTGCACACTGAAGGCAGGGGTGGCATATCCAGCAGATTGCACCTACCTCAGGATGAAACATTGGAAACAGCTGGTTTGTAGATGCATAGCTATGAAACTAAGCTAGTATGGGAATCTTTTGCCATGAATAATCATTTGATTGAAAGAAGATCATAAATATTGCTTCCTTTCCCATAAGTTTTATTCCATCATCTCTCTGTTTAACTGTCAAAAGCATTGACAACAGATACCTGTATTGGCTAGCTAGAACCAAGAATTCCAATCTGGGTTGAAACACACCAGGAGCATTGTAAGGAATAAATCAAAGAATTCATTGGAATTCATCCTGTACAAATGATCTCATTTATTACTTGGGAATAAACAAGATCCGATAAGTCTTTTAAGAACAAACGCAGCCAGTTTGGTGTAGTGGTTAATCAGGAGACTAAGTTCTAATGTCACCTTAGGCATGAAAGCCAGATGAGCGACCTTGGACGAAATCATTCTCAGTCCAACTCAACTCATAGGGTTGTTGTTGTGGGGAAAATAGGAGGAAAGTATGTGTGTTTGCCATCTTGACTTATTTATAAAATAATAAAGATGGGGTAATTGTTTAGCGTATGGCATGTCATACATGGACTAGCAATGTAAATTAACATTTCAACCAGATTAGTACAACCCAATGAAATATAAATGTAGAAAAAAAATCTATGTTCAAATATCAATGTCTAGACCAGACATGTCAAACTCGCGACGTCATGCGACGTATCGGAACTTTCCCCCCATTGCTGGCAATGGGTTGGGCACAATTTCCTCATGACGCGTCCAGCACATGGGCCGGCAGTTTGACACCCCTGGTCTAGACCATTTAACCATTGAAGCGTAGCATTGTTTATATTAAAAAAAAAGATAATGGACCAGTATATGCCCTCACCTTACAGCCAGTCACGATGTGATCTAGTTTGACATGGGATCCTGCAGTCACATTTGAGGGGAGGATACTATGCCCCATTTATACAGAATCCTGGCAGATGCTGTGTTGCGAATCCTATTCAGGATTGTCCATTGCTGACATGATAGTTCAAAGCCTGGCACTTTTATGAGGATCATTTATATGTCTTCCTATAACTGGGCGTTTATAGTGATTCATTTGGCTTTCCATTGGGAATTGATGTTAAAATTGTTGGGCAGATGTTGTGCAAGTGCCAGTGGGGGAGGGTCCTTGATTTGAGTCTTCCTGCTGATAAATGAGGACGGTCAGCATTGGTAGGACTGAGCTGTTGATAATTTTTCTGTATTCTCACTAGTGCATCTTGCCTTCGTAAGGCTGGCAGTGCTATATGGCTCAGAGCAGGAAGCCAGCAAGTTGGAGTGGTTTTAATATATCCACTTATAATCCTAAAAAATTAATAAACAATTATGGTTCCGTGGGCCAAATGTGCAGCAAAGTGCTGGCACAAGCCTGAGCTATGGACTCATCAACTTTTAGATGTAAATCAAAAATCTGTATTAGTAGAATACTGTGTGGGTGTCAAACTCACCGTGTCACATGACGTGTTGCAACGTAACGTGACTTTTTTTGCATTGCTGGCAGTTTGACACCCCTGAACTACTGTTTTCTCTGTTTTGAACAAGTCAATCTCATATTATGAAGTTAAAATTGAGCCTAAAACTACAAAGGGTCAAGAAATTAAGAATTTTTTTGTTTATTAAAGCATGGCATCAGTAATACATATCACAAGAAAAGTGAGAGTTGGGTATTTTATGTTGAAGTTGAAAGTACACATTTTACAACAGTATTTAAAACAATAGTCTTAATAAAAATACAGCTGAGATACCTCTCTTACGCAAATCAATCCTATTTCATTTCAATCAACTACTAAAATTGAAACTGGAGGTTTAGTTGCTTGTAGCCTTCATACCGACATAGTCATCACTTTCTTCGTATTTTATAGACTTTGAGAGCTGAGCTGGTGTGGTACCATACGTTGGGACATCTGTATATAGGATGATGGCATTGAGAAAATATTGTAATATACAATAACAGTTTTCTTTGATTCTAGATTGATATTAGCAATTCTGGCAACTCAGAATGTATGTACAATATTCAGGGGACACAAAGGGATGAATCTCAACAAGCTTTGTGAATTCATGACATCCAAAGGAAGCTGGGGAAGAAGAGAGGGAGAAATCTTGTCAGAGTCACTCTTTGAACTTCCATTCCTGTCGGCACATTGGACAATGCTGTTGAACTTGTT